GAACTGGCAGGTGCAGATCAGTTCCTACCAAAGAACTAGTAGGTGCAGATCAGTTCCATTCAAAAGAACTATTACATAGTTCCCATGATCGGAACTAATATGGAACTGTCCTAGGCCTAGTAGGAATTGCTCGGAAGATATGAAAAAGTTTGCTTTGTGAATAATTAATAATCGATCTTCTATTTAGTTATTTGACTTATGCAACACTATACTCGCGACAATATATTCACGAAAATGTTTTTTTTACGCAACCAATTGATCTCGCAACGTTTTGTCTTGCGACATTTTTCTTTTGCAACCTTTTGTCCATACGACATTTTGTCCATGCAGCCTTTTGTCCTTGCAGCATTCTGTCCGTGCAACGTTCTGTCCATGCGACAATTTTTTGCAACCATATGTCCACAACATTCTGTCCGTGACCAACTGTCCGCGACAATTTGTCCTGCAACGTTTTGTCGTGCGACATTTTGTCCATGCAACGTTTTGTCGGCAACGATTTGTTCGCGACATTTTGTGATGCGACATTCTGTCCTAGCGCCATCAAAATTCGATTTACGCTACGAAGATCCATTCCGAATAATCAAACAAAAATCACCAAAAACGTTTATAGTACAACACATAAAAAAACCAACATTACAACGACAAGTTACCACCGATGTGTTACTACCAATATTTCAACGCATTTATTAACAAAAAATGTATCTCCATCGAGAGATTCAGTCGTTCTCTATGTTAAAACATATCAATTAAGTAATAATTATCAAGATGGTGTAATTAAATCTAATTTAGCGTAGCAAAATCGGAAAGTGTGTTCTCCCCCACTCACTGGTTATGAAGGGCTATTACATTTATTGCATTAAATTGATTTTTATTCATTAATTTCAAATTACGAAATATCATCTGTTAATTAATTAACATTCATTCCTTTCATTAGATCCCCTTGTGGCCACAGGGAATCGAATGGAACTCTAATTTCGTAATCTTTATAATTGACATGATGAACGATATCATATGATATATTCATACATTATATTACGCATACAAATGAATCATACAACAAATCCATCTTTTATTGGAAAGAGAAATTTCCACATCCATATTTTCCATTCAAATCCAAACGAAAAATAACTATCCATAGTTTACGGAAAATCAAATGGAAAACTCGATAATCCATATTCTACCTGATAACAGTATGGAATTCGAAATCACAAAGTCGGAAAACAAACAAAGACAAACAAATAACATCTACATAGAATAACCATCAAACTCATCCAAATTCGAATTTTCATTATTTATAGCTCAATAATTACATCAAACTAAATTATTATTATCATTATTTATCGTACAAGAATTTCATCCATCTTAAAATTGAATTATTATCATTACATGTACATGGACTAAATGTTTTTGAATACACAACGCAACAACATTATTAATTGGTGATATATTAGAAAACTTCGGATTCTCTAAAAAGAGAATCGACCTTCGCAGGTAAATCTATTTAAAAAATAATTCTATTTCTCGAATATTTAGGAAAATGTCTCATTATTCACAAGAAAAAGTTATTTCAGAAGATGAATATTATGATGCTTTATATCGAATGCAAAACATTCCATCCAAAATTACAGGAAAGAAACGACAAAATCTTCGACAAAAACTCAAAAAACAAATCAAAGAATACGAATACAACATCAAGTACACTGGTTTTACTCCTCTTCCGTATATAACATATCATGTAAACAGAACAACACCGGAATCAATTTTGCAGCAGCTTATACAAGCATCAACAGCTTCAATAGAATTTACATTAGATACTGAATCAATGAAGGTATACAAAGCACAAAATCGTCCATCATTAATTCAAATCCAGGTACTTTTGCGACATGATTTATCATTAGTAATCATCTTCGAGATGATGCATCTACCTCCTCGTTATTCAACAAAATTTTCATTAATTGAACAATTATTCGCAATTATATTTTCACATGAAAAATTATTATACATTTGGGGTACAACAGAAGAATTACTTCCATTTACTTCATTTAATCTTTTTACATGTACACAAATTAGCTCGATCCGGTCAATTAATTTACAAGATGAATTCAAATCATTCTGGCAAGCACAACACCCTCATCGTGATCGTACAAATGAAACTCCTGATCTTGCTGCAATTGAATGTATATGTGAACAATGTATTGGTAAACAAAGATCTGAATCGTGGTCTCTTCAAGATGCCGTCGCTCGTTCATTAAACGAATATTTATCGAAAATACTTACCGAAGGTGAATTTCACATTGGATGAGATAAAAATTTATTTGATTCGAATGCAAATACAGAAGAAGAACAATATCGACAAGCACTTACCACGTATGCATTGTACGATTGTCTGGCAATACAAAGAATCATTATCTTCTTGAAGAACAACAATTTTCAATTGGAACAAGCAGCTGCACCATTTATTGAATCAATATTTAATTTTTATTCACCAACAAATCCCAATGATGATGATGATGATGATGGTGATGATATTTTTACATTCGAAGAACAAAATACTTTACCAAAACGAAGTCAGATAAAATTATCAAATGAAAATACTCGTACAACTGAACCACGTGCACCACTTATTCCATTCGTCGAAGAAAATCATGAACAAACAATTGAAGATCAAATAAATACACAAAATTTAGAACATGAAGTTCCATTAATTGATTTGAACAGATACCCGGCAAAACGGGAATCGAGTAGAATCAATCAACATGAAGAAATACCTGAACAACGTGCACAATTATCAGAACATGAACGAAGAACTATACACAACAGAAGCTGCACCCGGAAACAAAGTCTTCGATATTATCAAAATGAAATTATATTTAACATCATCGATCGAAGATTTACAATATCACAAAATTAAAACAATTCTTAAAAGAAACAATATCCCGATCAACAATGTTAAACCAGTTAGAGATCGTCGACAAAAAACCACCACCTTAAATGTTGCTGTACGTGAACCAAACAACATCCCCGAATATGAAATAATCACAAGAAACTATTTCACATCACAACATCACGAAGAATTACAACAACGTGGTGAATTACCTCGAAGACATCGAAATCACCATTATCGTCAATAACACCAACAACAGCAAGAAAAGAGAAAAACTTTTCCACTTTTTAAAGTTTTTTCCTTGTTTTCATCTATTTGAAAATTTAATGTCTTGCTCTTTCTCGTTTGATATCTCTAGTCGTTCCATTTCATTGTATTTCGTTTTTTTTCTTTACTCTTTGTGAACTCGTCTCTCAAAATGCGAAACATTTATTTCTAACAAGAGAGTATGTTAGGGCAACGTGATGTCGCCCTGCACATTCATCACTATATTCTTTCTCGTCTCGTTTCTCTCTTGTTATATATGTACACTGTTTTCTATATTAAGTTAGTTAGAGAAATAAACGAAGGATGAAGATCGTCCACTTCACATCACATCTCTCTCATTCTCTCTGGTCCTCACTCTAACAAGATTGTTGAAAATGTGAAGGGAATTATTGATATTCAACATAGTTGAGTTAGAACCACAGCAATACACCACGTAAGAGAACTCATAGATCAACACATGGTGTATTAGGACTGCAAGCAGCATATTTATAGGTCGAGACAGCGAGCGAAAGGATGAATGCAAACGAGATGGATATCAACAAAAACAAAGAACTAGTGATTACGAGCATCTGGGCATGAAAGCACGAATACACAGAGATAGAGAATACTTCAGTAAATATACGTTATCTAGGGTTTGACAGTAAATACATAGCAGACATCATTTAGAGACCTAGAACGTCCTGATAGTTAGATGGTGCAAATACAAATTAACAAGGTATAGAACATCTAAAGAAAATGTTCATTCGGGTCTAAAAAACTGCCCAAGAAAAATTTTGTTTAGCGAATTGTGTGTCAGTTTCCGGAAAACTGTTTTGGCTATAGTTTCTTACGAAGGCAGTGGTAGCCGCTAATTGTTTCATAGTTGAGCTAGGTACACTTGACCTAGCAAGCCTGCATGGGTTTCACCGAAATCCCCGGATCACACCCAGGGACCTTCCCTTGTTAGTTTTTTTTCTTTAGTTTTGTTTTATTCTTGAAAAATTGGAAGTTTTCTTCTATTTAACGCTAACATTAGCTAGTATCTACAAAGTCCTCGCCTAAACTCTCAAAAATAGTAGAAACTGCAGAAAAACACACAAATAACGTTCAAAGTTTAGAAAAACCTGGGCGGATTCGTCTTTGCGCAAGCCAATTTCATTCCAACGCCGATTCGAGATCAAGCTCGGTGAACTGTATTAATTCCAACCACAATATATTCATCCCTCTCTCACATCCACACTCAAAAGTACTCATATCTGAAAATGCAGGCTTTCCTATACAAATTGACATCATTGATGATTTCAGATGAAGTAACACAGGGTTCGTCATAAATTTGGGCAATTTGGATAGTTCGAGGTGGGTGTGTGAGATTGGGTGGGAAACGTAGAGTTTTCCGTTGTGCGTCGACATTCCTTGGGGAAATTTTTCGTATGAACATTCATTTTGAAACTTTTTAAAATAAAAATCATAAGACAAGTTGTATATCAATTCTGTTGCGTTGGGGAAACGTTTTTTGGTTTTATGGAAGTTTCTGCACCCTATAAGGATGGAGATGAAAATATTATGACTGAAATCGATAAAGCCAGTCAGATTGTATTTTGAATCAGTATGATCAGAGTTGGGATGCTGAGTTAAGCAAGTCTGCTCTAAAAAAACTCGACTGCTGCTGAAAGATACTCAACGTTTTACTTTTGTTAAAATTTCAACACATTATGTGTTGATGTTCGTCTTCTCCGGTAAACTGAAAATTGTGTGTAATCACATTGGCGGTGCTGTTTTTGAAGTGGTATTTACGCGAGAAAGCTTTTACCTGTGAAAGGTAAGAAAATGAAAGCGTTAATTCGCTGGTGGAAAGAGGCAGAAATCATTCCGGTAAAGATCATGTTTAAACTACAAAATTCAATGGCATTGCACAACTCAAGAAGACAGACGCATTTTTTGTTTGCATGTTGCATTTGAATTTTTTTAGGGATCCACTGGTCCAATAAAATCAATGGCAAAGATGAATAGTTTTTTATAACTAAACCACCTAATTTTGACGAGCTATGCAAGCTATTTAAACTCAGTATCGATTAAGGCAAACAGTAGTACTAACAAAGCTGAAAAAACTGAATCAGAAGAAAACAGGATTGAGCGGCACTGGTAAAAAGCTGGAAACTCCAACGAGGCGAAGCGAGACTTCGTACTTCCATACTTCCACCGTATGTCTAAGTACTTTCATAATGCTTCTTCATACTTTCGTGATACTTCAAAGCACAGACCTCTCGCTTTTTCCGCTTGGAGGTTTCAGTTTTTTCAGCTTTGTTAGCACTACTGTTTGCCTTAATCGATACTGAGTTTAAATAGCTTGTATAGCTCGTCAAAATTAGGTGGTTTAGTTATAAAAAACTATTCATCTTTGTCATTGATTTTATTGAATCAGTGCGTTCTTAAATTTCTTTGTTTAGAATGATTTCGGCGATCGTCATGCTTTTCATCATCGGTTTCGGAGAAAGTGCAGTAAAATGGAATGAACTACCAAATTTTTACCTTCGCAGTTCGCTGGGGTCTTCAACTGTCGGGATGTCACTGAAATACGCAGCCGGCATAGATCCTGAACTTCGAAAAATCGATTATGAGGCCCTTGGCAAACGCTGCGAAGCTACTAATGCTCTTTGGCAAAAAACACTTAATCCTCAAGAAGTTGCAGCTGTATCATGCTACACTCGAGATACGATTTTATACAGAAGAATCAATTATGCTTTACGAGCATTAGATGAATCGCTTCTGACGGCATACACACCATTTCTTAAAGTATGTTCTGCATGGAAGTTTTTAGTTTCTCAAGAAATTCCTTTCTGACACAGATTTTCCATCGTGGAGTAGCAAAATTAGAACATGATGAGTTTGAATATAACATATATCGTGGTGATGACTCCGACTATGGCTTTCACCAGGAAAACTCTGTAGTGACCCTAGTAAGTTCGTCTTAAAAGTTAGATAAAAATAGTTTTAATTTCATATTTTCGGTATTCTGTTATATACCTACTTTTGCTTTATTCTAGCCTTTATCATTCACTGCTTCAGAAGAGTACGCTCGTAACAAAGCTGGAAACGCTTCAGAAGGTAGTTGTACTATCGCAATTTTGCTTGCAAACTCGGGAAGATTGATTGAGGATTATACCTCAGTGCCTGGTGAGTATGAAGTAATAATGTTACCAGGAACAATAGCGCGAATAACACAAATTATTCCACAAAACAAGACACATTGTCGTACATTTTATCTGCAGGAGATCAACGAAGTAAGTTACAAAATTGATAAGAAGTTGATGTTTAAGTCCTCTTAAAAGAATAAAATTTTTCGACGTTGAAATAAATGCACAGGACGACAGGCGATCATCCGGGTGAGAAGGAAGATACTACATGATTACGGTATCTTCCGTAAAGCCGAAAATGTTCGCCAACGCAAAAGAACCGATGTGAAGTTTCCAAGTCAATATTTTTTAAAAGATTTTTCCAAAACCTGGTAAATTTTTCTCAACGCGCGACGGCGTGCAAGGAAAGATTCACTAATGTTAGGGCGGTATATTCTTAAACAAAGCCCGCAACCTTGTGCACTAAACAAAAACTTCATTTCAAACGATGTATTGCGCTTTTATCTAAGATCTTCGTAGCCCTATATTTGTGAATCATAAGTTAGAAGGAAAACGAAAACGGAAAGAAAGGAGAGGAACACACATATAGATCCATCGAGGAAAAAGGCGACCTTTGTGGGTCTCGAGTCCTCACCATTTGCTATCCGGACAGATGTTATAAGTCGGTTAGGCTGGAATGATCATCTACTGCCCCGTGAAGTGCTTTAGGGATGCACCAGTCCCAGTTAACTGGAAACTGGTCGGACTGGATACACCCAGTCGTGACTGGTGCCCAGTTCTATCTCTCTCCGATCGATATCCAGTCTATTAATGAACTTGTTGGATATCCAGCACTACTTTGTACCCACTTAGACTGGTATCTCAGAAGGACTGGGTGACCAGTCTGACTGAGACCCGATCTGACTGGGTGACCAGTCACGACTGGTACCAGTCCACCAGGCATGACTGTAACTGGTGCATCCCTTAAGCGCTGTAAACTATCTGGGGGATGCTAACAGATCTTTCGGTCTACAATCGCTCAATATATAGAAAAAGTTTTTGTTACACTGTAAAAAAAAGGAGTTTTACCAAACCAAAAAAGGATCTTCCCACCGATACACGGGACGATCCTTTTTTGGTTAAGTAAAATGAAGGTTCCGAAGAGAACCTTACAGGAAAAACTGAAAACAAAGGATNCTCCTTTTCCTAACTGAACCAACGGCAGATATCAATGGTTTGGTAGAGGGTTCGCCGAACGCGAACAATAATTATGAGATCATTAATTGTTTTGCGGAACTTATACGTAACTACTGACCAGTACAAAAATATATTTGTGTATACGAGTAGATTATGGGAAACCTTGAGCCGCTGTACGCAAGTAGGGATAGTTTGGTACAAATACTGCCAAGCCTTCATTCGTTCGACGGAGTGGATAATGATTTCCGAAAGGTTATACTGAACTAATCAGAGGCATACAGAACTCGTCATAGTTTAGTGTATATTCGTCAAACCTCTGACTAATATACAAAGCCAGCAATAGTTTGGCATGAATTCTGCGGAATCTTACGCGAGAGAAATAAACCGATGTTAGCTTCGTCTAAGTTTCATCAAATCATGAATAAGTACACGGAATCGCTGATGATTTCGAAGAACTTCTTCTGAACAGTTACTCGTTTTACGAGTTCCTTGATAGTTTTGAATAAATCCTACCGAACTTGCGATTACTGTACGAAGCTATTGATATTTCCGCAGAAGTGTCTCTGAGCTATTGATAGTTTTGGAAAGCTATTGGCAAATCATGAGTGAGCTCACGAAAACCTTGGACGATTTTGCTAGAAATCTGGATAAGCCTAAGCCAAAGTACGATATTAATGATGGTTCTGCAGAAGTTATGCGCAACGTCTTTGTAGTACATGAAAGTATGTACCGTTCTGTGTAACGAAAACGAAACCTTTATACGAGCTGTTGAATTCTATATAGTTTTATGCTAAAGATACGGAACCGTTTCGGAGCTGGCAGTATTTTGGTTCGTTTCGTATAAAACGCACAAAACCAATACCAACTTGACTAAGGCAACAATGTTCGGTATTATGTGTGCGAAACCTTGCTTTTTCTTACTGAGGTCCTAATCGTTCAGTATAAGTCGTGGGTTAGCTTTATGAACTTATACGAAGCTATGAATAGTTCTTTGTACATGAAACCGAGTCTTCAAAGACACAATTGGATGATGAAAAGTTTTGCATGTACTATACTGAACCTTCTGAGACATAAATGATATGCCATTGGTTGAGTACGAGATATGCAGAACCATGGTGAGTTTAGTAATGAGCAAGCAGAACTTTTGGTTCATTTTCGGAACTTATAAAGATTCGTACATACTATGCGAAACTCAAAGCCGATCAGTACTGAATATACTGAACCTTTGATAGACATACGAAACCCCGCAGGGGTTTGTATTGAATGTACTGAGCTTTTAAGAATTGACAAACTCGTTATTGGTTTCGATCATTCCACACGAAACCAAGTCTAGTTTAGTTTAAAATGTTCTAAACTTTTCGAAAACTGACGAACCATCGATGCGTCGGCGTGAAATCGTCTGATCCATCAACTTGCCTGCGAAACTAGGAATAGTTTCGTAGAAAATTGACGAAACGTCTCATCACACTCCTAAACCGATGATGGTTCTGTAGACATGTTACAGAACTACGAATGGTTTCGCATACCGCATTAAAAACCTGTGGATGGTTTTTGCTACCAATTGCCGAACCTTCTCGACGCTACGGAACTTAAAATAGTTNTATCACTGGTATTTCCAGGAAGGAAAGTAGAAAAATTCCGTCGATACCAACGTGCAGTGGACATGTTGGAGTACCAGCATCATAAAAAAAGTCCTTAAAAAGGTCTGCTAACACCTGATAAATTTCGTCAGCGAGAGTGCACTGTACGAAGAGCTTTGAATGGTGACTTTCCCGCATAGGTATCTGTCCCCGACCCTCCTCTAATGAATGGTGAAAATCGCAGGTCTAAATAACTTTCCAACCAAAAGTTACAAAGATTTCTTCCACCTGCCTTTTATAAAAATTTCGATAGTACTTTCCATGACTTCAAAGTACTTGGAGCTACTTCATGTGTAATTTGAGCTACTTTAGACTACTTTAAAGTACTCTCACCTACTTGAACAACTTAGGCTACTTCAAATCCCAAAACGGAACAAAAGTGTTCTCTTTTCGGGAATCAATTCCTGTAACGGAACATTTTTGTTCTGTTTTACTAATAGTTCTCATGACAGAGCAATACTATTTTTTTCTGTGAGACATTACGAAAATAGAACATTTTTGTTCTATCACAGGAACTACTCACAAAACAGAACACTTCTGTTCTGTTTTTGGGATTTCAAGTACTTTTGTACTTTCCCTATCAACCTTAAAATGTAAAAATGAGCATTAAAATGCATTGCTCTCTTTAAACACGTCATTTTCAACATTAAAATGTGTCTTCTCCATTAATTAATGGAGATAAAGGCATTATAGCAGATTCTGATGATAAATTAACCATTTTCATCATTATAATGATTCGGAGAACATGCTCTTTTTTACATTGCTAAACATCGAAGATTATGATCAAAATGTACTGACTTTTTTTGACAGTCGAATATGTAACTAAATCTTCAAAAACATCTTAAAAGCTGATCATATGTTAAATATAAACTTTTATTAATCATATTAAAAGTATCTTGTAAGACGAAGATCTAGTTTTAAAACATTTTTTTTATTGGTAAATAAGTTATGAACATTCTTTATAGTTACGATATTGAAAAAAAATAAATGAACTGATAGTTCTACTGTCATTTTCATAAACTGGTCGAAAAACTAATTTATGGATAATTTGAGATGGGCTGATAACAGTTGTTGAATTAGGAAGAACAGCACCTTGCATAATATTACTGCATCTAAACGTTCTTCCTCGAATTCTTAAAGTATCAGCACTAGACGAAATTTTTGCTTCGTTTACAAGTACATATGCTTGATTTTTAGTCAGTATGTGACCAATACAGATTATAAATCCAACCAAATATTGACAGCTACTTGACTTATACAAAATGCAGGCATCATTTGAACGGCGAACAGTATGAAAATCATCAGCACCAAATCTTAATTCATTTAGAAATAAGGTTTTGTAAAATGTAACGTCAGAAATATTTGAATACGGCCATAAAGAAATCAAATTTGATGATGATGGAAGCTTTTGATAAAATTTCATGTCAGGCACATTATTAAGATCGGTAATGTTCATCGAATTTAATGTTGATGAAATGTGGCGAATGTATTCTTTGCCCGTTTTTGAAAACGTCGGAGAAGATGCATAAAGTGACGATTGACGATATAGATCAATGTTGTTGATTTTCCATGTACTGTTCGAAGAAATGATGCTATGATCACAAAAGTAAAAATATTTTGTATAGAAAAAAATCTTTAACCAACCCATTGATGATTCGAATGAGAACGTTGAATAGTTAAACATAGGTCCATAATCACGCACACAAGAATGAAAATGTCGTATAGAATGAACTACAGAAACTATATGCCTTTTCTATATTAAAATAAATACTTAAAGCAGAACGTATAAAGAATTTGCTTTACACTATATAACGTTGAGAATTTTTCATCAAAGTAGGCAGCCAGAAACCGAATATCTTCATGTGTTTTACCAGATAAATATTGACCTTCCACTAGATGAGCGATAAAAGCCAATACTTTCAAATGATCGTACCGTTCTTTACTAAGTATTTTTTCAAATATTCTATATCAAAACAATAGTACAGCAAATTTATGAATCAAAACGCTTACGAATAACCAAAGAGAAGAAACATTCTGAACTCATTCCCTTTAAACTTTTTGAATAATCGAATATCTCTTGGTTGTCTATAAGTTGTTGATGAATATGAGATTGCATTAAATTTTTCAGCAATAAGATCTATTCGATCATGGACATTCATTGAATTAGTAATACCAGCTTTAGGAGACGGTTTGGATAAAAGTAGTTTTAACATTTTAGCCTATATGAAAAATTAAATAATTTAATGAAGGAGCAAAAAAAAGAATCTTACCGTTATGCCAAGATATAGATTATGCAGAGTATCACATAAGAAAGATCGATATACATCAAAATGGCTTAGTTGACGAAACAAACATGGTCCTTTGAATCCTTTCAGATACTCAGCACTCGTTTCTTTCGAAAAATTTCGATTAGAATTCATCAGTTTATTACCCTAAACGATTAATATGATAGACGATTTCACAAATAAAATGAAACTAACGTTTTCGAAAAAACTATTTGCTTCATCGTATGTTTTATTTGATCTCAAGGTCACTTTTTCCTTTGGATCATAAACAAAGGAACGAACTGATGTTCCACCGGCTTGAATCAATTTACCTACAATAATCGAAGATTAAATTTTAAAAATTTGAAATTATGTGTCAAAAATTACCTTTAATAGTACAATACGAACAGCCAAAAAATCCGGTTGATTCTTTATGATTTGATAAAAGAGATGTTGCAGGTTTATCATTAACACAAGCAAGTAAAAATATCTTGATGATTTGTTCAATATTGTTTCCATTAACATGGTTAAGACACACAGAGATACCATCTTCAAGTCGACGAAGTTCTGTTACAAGATCAAATAATAGTACAGACATTTCCTCTTTTTTCGGTTTCATTCCTCCTGATGAAATCATACCAATGATCATATTTTCTGGAAGAAATCGTAATCTTCGTGGCAACTCATTAATAACAAAAGTAGTCAACCAAACAGATTTTGAATTTGCTTTCACCAAACCACCATCGGAATTCATCAATAAAGTTATGAATGCTTGAGATTCTTTTTTAATCATATTCTCGTATACTAATCCATGAGTATTAGAGACAAGACATTCGTGTTTCGATACTTCTTAGTTTATTGTGGAAAATGAAAAGAATTACACGCGTGGAAAACACTCCTCTCGTTGCTCTCTCTTCACACTATCACACGTACATATTTATATGCACACATACAAAGAAGAGTGAATAGATATCACAGAAACAAAGAAAGATATCACTAATACAAAAGATCTAGGGAGATAGAAGGTATAACGATTGATCTAGGCAGAGAGAGAGAGAGAGAGAGAGAGAGAGAAAATAAACGTACATGTATCTGAGAGAGATGTCGCCTATAACAATGAGTTATATCAGAGATAGAACATTTGTTAAATTTTCTTTTAACTATTGAATTTTGTTCCATTACTAATCTAATTTGAGGTTCAAGTGCGAAAGTATAATTCACTGTTGGTACTCTAACGAATACCGATTGGGAATCGCAATTCGTCGTGCTTGTACACATTTTAATACTTGTTGATGGTTTATAGCAAGAAGGACAAATGATTGATATGCACAAAGTATCAACGTTTCAATATTTCTAAAACTAAGTGGAGCATTCGGCACCTTTAGTAATTGCAGCAAATGACAAATATGATGAACACATGATTTGGTTAAAGAATGACGGTAACGTAATTCAATTAATAGAACGGATATTTCTTTTGAAGTTAAAGTGTTTTTAATATCTCCTAGCTTTTCATCAGACTCTAATGAAATACCTGCATCTTGTTCACTATCAAAATTAAGTGAATTGAAATCTTCGTCATCAGTTAAACAATTGTTATTGTTATCACCAGAGCTTGAAGAGTGTTGTGATTTTAATGACGAATTAGATGAAGTCGAATCAGCACGTGTTCTTGAAATGGAAGGACAATTAGTTTCAGTGATAAGTGGAAATGAATTTGGTACAGAAATGACATTCGATAAAGAAACTGGCGATGAACATGGTGAAAATGTGGAAATTGACGCGCCAGCATAACTTGAATTTAAAAATAGAAATAGTGTTTTATTATTTGATTTTATATAAAACTTACGTGAAAGTGTTCAAAATGGATTCTATTGTCATATGTCGTCGATATGATTGTGCTAGTCTCTGATTGAATCGAGACGTTCTTTTTCGGATAGAAGTCATGATGATGATCTGTATTTTAGGAAGACATTTTTCTGCATAGATTGATATCTGTACAATACCAGTAGTGTATTAAATTAATTGAAATAGATGAATTTAATTATACATTCGAATGCGCTGATTGTTAGATCAGAAGGTAAATGCACATTAAGAGAGAAAGCGTAAATATAACAAGCAAAATATCAGTAATAGTTAGAATAAATACGAATAAAAAGAAAAAATTAATGGTGATAATCAACTAAGAATATGATGATCGTATGAGAAAAGATAATTCCAATTGTTTCTAATAAATAAGATTTATTGATATCTAAAAGGTCGTATGTAGGATTTGAAACGATTCCGTTCTTTATCGATTTAGAACGTGAAGAAGCGTTGCATATGTATTATATGAATAAGAAACTAAATTACATTATACAAGGTGTTGCATAACCTTTTTCCAGGGGGGTACCGACATGATTTTAAAGTACGTGCCTAATGAATTTTATACCAAATTAAAGTGCGTCAAAAACTGGATCTATTTGTACTAAATGGTACTAGCTATAGAAGCCTTTTAGAGTCGAACTTACGAAGATTCCAGAGATTTTATGCTTTTTACGATAGAAAATGAAGACATTAGAAGTTCTAATATTGAATGAAATAATTTCTTTGGATGTTCTTATATGGTTTGATAGGACTCGTCGAGCTCTACAAAACCGTATATGGGTAAAATTATTTTAATAGCGACGTGACACCGTACGATTCCGACACATATATCTTGAGCTATAGAGTACTTTTCGAGTTGATCTTTAAACATTATATGTAGGTTGTGTCGCTGAAGGTATCCTGTAAAAAACAGCCCCAAACTCTCTAGTATCGAGGAGTTCTTGATCAAACACTAGCGTTAGCGACGTGATGTGGAAAAGGACATCAATTTTCACTTTTTGTCTTGCAAGATGAAAAATTCTCAGTCAACTAAGTATTTCTAAAATTTCAAATAGTACATCTTATAGGCCTTTTTGAGAGCTACAAGATCGCTAAGCAAAGAGTTAATAAAGACTATTTTAAGTACCTCAAAAACTAGATTTTTTCCTCGTTTGTGACGTGACAATTTTGTTAGCGACGTGACAGAGTACGATCATATAGCTCTAATAATTGAAGATAGCCTTTCGAAACAACTTTAGTTGGTGAAGACTTTTGGTCATCAGTAGTAGATTACATTGACACCCAAACAGTTGCTCCAAAGCCCCTCAAGACCTAGATGGCGCCACTTTTCGAACGAAAATTTTTTGTAACCGATTTGGCTGATAACTTTATCACAGATGCGGACCACAATGAGTAGTCCATCCTAAAATTTTCAGATGTTTATCTCCTATGGTTTGAGAGAAATCGACTAATTACTTCGTCATTAATTAGCTAATTAGCTAATTAATTTTAATGAATAACAATCTGAAAGAGCAAACATTTTTACATATGTTTGTACTAAAAGAGTCTTATAAGAATCCATATCCAAATAAAAAAATTTAATGAAAGAAGAGGGGGGTCATGTCCTGTTTCGCCTGATTTTGCCCATATATATTCAGACGCGGCGCATCAAACTGCATCAGATCATGGAAAAAATCTGAAAAAAAATTGGTCAGGTTTTGTGTTGAGGCAACCTAATGAAAAGATTCGGTAGAGAGAAAAATATAATTATATGACACAAAATGATGTGCTGTTTAGTGGTGACATCTATATTTCAAGAGAGACACAACAGATGTAAGGAGGACAGAAAAATACAATTAGTTTGCAATGGTCACTAAAAAGAGAGAAAAAACATTCACGATAAACTTATTATTAACTATATTTCGTTTTATACGCATACATCGTCATCGTTTAATCAATCCAATCAATACATCATACTCAGGTACTCTGATAAGGTATCTTAGACGGTTTCTAAATGTTCTGAAGCAAATAACAGATTAGGTGTTTTTTTTCGGTGCTTCTACACGGTGTGCACACCCTCCCTCCTCACGTTGTGCCTTGCGTTGTGTGTGTATGGTGTGCACATCGTGTAGAAGGACCTTTTTTTCTTTTGTACAAGTATAAGGTTCGTCGAGGCCCACTCACTTAACTCTCAACTGAATGACTAACAGTGAATGATGTATTCTGTTGATAAAATTATTCATAATACTTTGAACTGTATTTTAATATACTCGTTATAATACTGTCAGAGATGCGCAAATACAAATACAGATTGTACTGAACTTTTTCTATATATTTATTTATAACACATTCTCTTCAGTTTCTATGTACTTCAATCGAATCATCTTCTTTACAACTGTATGTATTCATTAACTCATATGTATTCGACCATCTATAACAAAATTATGATTCATGTACTCTGATGTACTGAGCATATTTTAGGTCTGAAAAATCTAGAATCGATTAGCTTCTTTAGGTATGTTTGATTATGAGCCAACCCTTAATTCGAAAAATCTATGAATGTTCACTCTTATGTTATATTCAGTGGCGGATTTAGGGGGAGGGGCGATCGCCCCTCCCCCCCCCCCCCTTCGGAAAAATGTTTCGACTTTTCACAGCAAAAACGAACGAAAAAATGGGTTCACACTACCTCGGCTGACCTCAAAAAATAGTCGTTAGCCGAAATCGCCCATCCCCTATTCACGGATCACCCTCCCTTGCAAAATCCTAGATTCGCCACTATGGTTTTATTCTAAATAACTGTCTACCCGCCTCTTTTTTTCACCATTCCGTCACGCAGATTCTATTGTGAATACTAAAACTGAAATTGCACATCTCCAATCGAATTTTCAGAAATGTTTTTTCAAACGTCTTTGGTCTACAAACAATTTCATCGGTAATCGGTAAGACATCTCATTATTTTTCTTTTACTCTCTTGCTCGATGTAGATCAAAATGCTGTTCGTATGATAGCCATATTCTTTTTATTTTTTGCGCGTGTGAGAATGTGATTATTTCTCTCCCACTTCCACCAACACTCAAGTTATGAGAATACATGGGAATACATCAGAGGACAAGCTGACTGATTCCGGATGATGTAGAAAGTTGAGTCCAAATTGTACTCGTATTTATGTAGTACTCGAAAAGGCCCTGCAACAGAGTCATGAATAATAGATTTGGGTAAATTCTACAAAAATTCTCGTAGAGAATCTCGGCCGTCGAAAAATGTAAACTTTCAGAGTCAATCAAAATATAAGCCATTTCGTAGAGGTCTGTTAATTGCGTATGGATGAAAAAGAAATTGTTGCTCTTCGTTGTCGGTTCAGGATCGTGTGGCAAGCAAACGATTGAGCTTATCCACATGGATCCTATCCATCTTATGAATAATATATCTGACGAAATATCTAACGCAGGGCGTTTATTCTCCTTCGTCCATATGCAAATAACCTACCTCTACAAAATGGCTTATATGTTGGTTGACTCTGAAAGTTTACATTTTTCGACGGCTGAGATTTCCTACGAGAGTTTTATAGAATTTACCCATATGTTTTATTTATGACTCTGCTGCAAGGCTTTCTCTTAACTTCTGAAATCATCAACGAATAGAGCTCGAAAAGCTACAGTCATGGTCAAAAATTCGCCGTTTCGGCTAGGTCCTCTTCACAAAAAGTTAGGAGGATAAAGATCCATTCACTCTATAAAGAACCCATTTTAGTCCAGAGATCACCATATCGTTGTAGTAAGCTATATTTTTCATTGTGAAAAGTTTAGTTTTATACAGAACTCGAATGTTAACTTAGAAGAAAGATAGTATCCACTAAATTTGGACGAATCGTCATACAATACGAATTCCCCAGGTTGAAAAATAGAGTCTATAGAGTGTCCATGACTAGATAAAAATAATAAATAACGCTCGTCGAGGCAGACTCACTTTACCCTCGACTGATTTTTTAAAAATAAACATCAATATACTGAAGTAGTTTCTTAAAACCTTTTTTTATTTCGAGAAATTGAAGATGATATTCGCAAACAAAATAATGTTAGTTTTCAGTTAACAATACGAATTCCACAACATGAAAAGAACTCTGATGACAAATATAAACCACTTTTACCCATAACTGCAAACATTTAGACAATCAGGTAATGCTCGCCGAGGCAGAGTGGCTTTACTCTTCACTGGTTTTCTTTTCACTCCACTCTTTTCACTCCACTCTTTTCATAAAGACTTTTCAAAAGATGTATTAAACCATTCATCTCGCAGTCGGTCGTCGGTGTCCCTTCGGTTCGCCACTCCCGACAGCTCGATATTGCGCATTGTATGTATAGTCTACTTAATGGGCACGTGTCTTTCTCTCCGACGCTTCACAAACAATTAAGCTACGTCGACAAAATGATAAATAAAGAAGGCTTTCAGCTGGAAACTGTCGTTCATCCACTGGAGGTTATGGGAGAAGATTCATATAACTAAATAATCTAAGGTATTGAATGACTGGTTCACTGATTCATTCATTTTAGATATCCAATTTGTCAGCTTTAAGCAGCGCGATGCCTGATTGGTCAATTTCACAATCCATCATAGTTATCGATTAGTTTCATCGATCTTCGAATCCTATTCGTGAAGTCTCTGTCAATGTTGATCTTTGACTCTGACACAAGCACATCTCGATACACATTATTTGTTGTCATATGATGCTTCCTCTAGACCAGAGAATATCTAATTGGTCCACATACACATCCATAATATCTGATTAGATTAGTCAATTTATTGCTGCGGTAAATTTCTCTCTCAGGCCGCGGACTCTTCCTTTAATATATAAAAACTACGTTCAATCAACCGTTAAACCTATTCCAAACGATATTTCATTGAATTTTAAACATTTCCGAAAAAAATGCTTTTTTTCTCCCCTGACCTCTGACCTTTGACCCTGACACAGACAGACACACACAGACAAACTATTTTTTTTTTGTATGACCCTCCTTTCAGTCGAGGGACGAATGTTTTTAAAGATCTAATTATTATATTCGTAATCAGCACTTCTGACTGTACCGATACAAACATATCTAATAAATATTCTCTGGTAAAAAAAGACATTTTTTTCTCGTGATACGTGGAGACGAAGGGGAGGACTACCTCATGGATCAAAATAGGTAGTTTCGTTGTTCGCGAAATAAAGCTGCAAAAAATAATTAGGGACAAAATCTGATTCGAAATATAGATAAAGAGATCAATTCTAATGTGGCATCGCACAGTGACCTTCTCCGCCCTCATCCTTTTTCAATCTCGGATATTTTCAAGGGAAGCTTCATTGAAGCCTAAGAAGTGCCACAGATGCTCATCAAGTATTTTTCCATCGGTATAGAATGCTAGAAATCAGCTTGTCTAATCGATTTAATTGGTCTTGTCAAGGCGACGAACAGTGCTTTTACTAAAGCGACTAAAACTCTGTCGAATGTCTCTGTAAAAAGTCAGTATGAAATTACCTAGATATGAAGGATGGTGCGTACACTCGGGCCGCAGCTAGGAAATCATGTATGGTTGGGCAGTGCCCTACCACTTAAAAAAACCCCATCCAGAGTAGTTAAGTTTTTTTGAGGTTAATATTATTTGTGGAGTTTCTGTTCCTGCTAGTGGTCGGGCAGCATCCAGACCAGTATATCTCTGGCTATGCTAATTGCGTGCACAAGAAATAATCTCGTCCCGAGGGTGTGTGTGTGGGTGATGAGCGTATCACATCCTAAATCTTCATTCCCAGTAAAAGACTTTCAGCAAGCAAAGTGGGCCATAGTTTTCTGAGCGTTCTGTTAAATGAACTGTGCGAAAGTAATTTAAGAACGGAAGAGTGCATGTATCGATTACTTCTGAACCAAAGTCAAAGGCAAAGAATAGGATAAGATTTGTGTCGGGTCGTATTGAAGAATATGTGTGAAAGAGCGGAAGAGAAGGCGACTTTTTCTTTGTTGTCTTTTTACAGAACACAGCAATCCTCTGTATACAGGAAGTTAAAACTAAAAGAACATTTTTCTGTTGTAGCGTTTGAAGAATTGAAACACAAAGAAAGTATATGGCTTCCTCTAATTCATCTTCGATGACATCAAGCGCTACGAATACAGTGAAAAATGAAAAATTCGTACAAATCTATACACCTGATGAGAAGACTGTGCAGCTATTGGATAACGGACGCACTTTCAAGAATCTGAAATTTGGTATATGTGCTTGTGCACTTGGTGATCACTTCTATTCATTCGGTATTCATTGTATTCGAATCAGAGTTGACGAAGGGCATCCTGTTTTGGGTATTCGGTCACGAAACATACCACCTATAGCGGATGAAGATTGTTCTGGTTCATATGATGCTAGTCCTTCGACGTATGGTTGGAAAAAAGACGTTGGACGTATTCTTAATGGAAGCCTTGAACGAAGCGGCAGAATGAAAAAAGTAAAAGATATAAAAATTGGTGGTCCTGCCTATACAATGACGGTGAATTGTGATGATCACCAGTTAAGCATACTTGATGAAAATAATAAAGAAGAAGATGTTATCGACCTTGATGTTAATTATATTCCTTTCCCTTGGTGTTTGTTTATCGCTCTTCCTCGGGCCACAGCTCAGGTGGCCTTAATGTAAACGCTCTAACGCTAAACCTTCTTATTTCTTTGTGTAGTGTTCCTATGTGAAATATGTAGGACGAACATTTTAGCCTATTTTATATCTTGCTCTATCTTATACTTTTTTAATTTTCCTATGCACCTCTAAATAAAAAGACCAGAAATATTTACAACATGTGAGTTTAGAAAACCAACGGATGAGTTTGGTCAAGTGTGAACTAGGATGGAAAACAATATCAGGAGATAAGTGGGTAGATGTACATACTAAAGAGTTAATAACAGTTTATATTTGTGACAGTTAACATAAGAATTTAGCTGACAAGGGAAGATCCCCAGGTGTGTTACGTTCCTTTTTGGAGCGGACACGTACTATCGTGTAGAAAACAGTGAGCTATAGTATCGTCCATGTCGTAAAAATCTCGTAAAAGTGAACGATTTTATCGCGATTTAGCACCCGATTCATTGCGAAATTTATCGCGATTTAGCACCCGATTCATTGCGAAATTTATCGCGATTTAGCACCCGATTCATTGCGAAATTTATCGCGATAAAATCACAAAAAAGAGCGATTTTTTGCCATTTTTTTCTGGACAATCCCTGATTCGTAATTATTTCGAAAAAAGGGTGAGGGTGAGTATCATATAGTAGAATCCCTACAATCCAGATTTCGACTTTTTTCAAGGGTCTTTCATCAGGTAGGAAAATACTTTGCATCGAATCCAAAACAAATTCGGAAAGATTAAATATCCACCGAAGTTTATTGTTGAACTTCTAATAGCAGAAGAAGCTAATATACAATAGGTGAGTATCATATAGTAGACTCCCTACAATCTAGATTTCGACCTTTCTCAAGGGTCATTCATCACGTAAGAATATATTAAGGGTGTGCGTTCGACTAACTCTGATGGCCGATTTTGAAGCTGTTACAGCTGTTTGCCAGATAGCTGAGGCTATTAGTAGGATACTGTGGACTTGAAGCTAAGTTTAAGACTGCTAAATCACATATAGGACTCATACTCGATAAGGAAGCAAGATACATGAGAAACCGTATAGAATAAGATGGTGCACGCTGGGTTTGAGGATTAGGCTGAAAAATGTTGTAGACAAGACTTTTTATGTCTATGAGGTTTCGGGTTTTTGATGGGTTTTTACTCGGACATAAGTAAATACTGTCCAGAAGTTGTAGGTGTAGTATAGTTTTATTTCAGAAAGAGGGTTGTCTATTAGAATGAATTGAGGCTTTTTCAAGTTCTGTCTGGAATGTTACTGCTTGAAGTCGTTGTTGAAGATTGCATTGGATGCAATAAGTAGAGAAGAAGGAATGAAATATTCCCTCGACTGAAAGGAGGGTCATATGAAAAAAAAGTTTGTCTGTCTGTCTGTCTGTCTGTCTGTCTGTCTGTGTCAGGGTCAAAGGTCAAAGGTCAAAAAAACATTTTTTTTTGAAAATGCTCAAAACTTCATGAAACATCGTTTGGGAGGGGTGCTGAGGCTAGATCTTGGTTGGGGTCGGTGTGGGGGNGCCTCCAAGCTTTTTAATAAGTAGATAATCTAGTCAGTTATCAAAGTATCAACAATCCGACACGTTCGAATGCGAAATATATACAGAGTCTCATTTGATCTTACCGAAAAAAATATCTTTCTTTTAGAAAAAGGAGGACATGTTTAAAAGTGCAAATCCATAATAGTCATTTATAGCGAACTTCTGCTTTCTGTGAAGAGTAATTGTCAGTCAGGAATATAGAATAATTAAAAGCAACACAAGTAGTCCTTTGACTCTTTTGAAGACTGTGAGGCGAATGAAGATGAGTCTCTGGGGGCCCTTTCAAAGGTTATACTTCTGTCTTTTTTTTTGCATAAAATGCACATAAGACTATTTTATTTTCAGCCAGTGGTTCAGTCGAGGGCACAGCGAGTCTGCCTCGACGAGCGTTACTAGTTTGATAGGAAAAGTTTATTTTCTCGGTTAGAGAGACTACGGTGATGCGATATGCAAAAACAAAAAGAACAATAGGAAAGAAGGGCAATAAGTACTGTTTGGAAAAGCGAAGTGTCTCGATGATACTATAGTTCTTGTTATCTTCAGGATTCCCAGTCATATGAATCAAATGGATTGTAAAGGTCACCCCAACGATCATCATAGATACCAGAATCGTGTTGTTGATTAAATTCTGCCGTCTCACGATCAAAATAGTATTGATCGGCTTGGTTTCGCTAGGTGTCGTTGACATCCATAATGGTATCTGTGACGATCACATCACGCCTCCTCATATATTTGTCCTCACTGATACACCTGCGTATATTTTCTCATATTATATGTTCCCATTTGTCCTTATATCGGATGTTCTTACTTTGCCTTTTCACCAGCTGTCCTTTTATCCCATTGTATATCCACCTACTTGATGGAGTTTGTTCTCTGATCAGCTGATCGGATCACCTGATCTACTGCTGCATACTTCGAGCACTATATATAGGGTGCAGAAAATGCAGTAAAGTGTGTTCTTTTCGATTCCACAAATAAAAGATACATAACACCAACTTACAATCTTTGGATCCTTGACAAGAAATCGTCACAATTGACGACCCTGTCTACTCGAACCTTGGTTATATCACCGATTACTGTCGGCTATTAAACACTTACATTATTTGTTCCCATGGCAAGTTCTGAAGAAAAAAAAGTGCCACTCAATGAAGCCGTTCGATCGGCATCGGAAGCAATGAATCGTCATGACGATGACATTCGTTCTTTACAAAAAAACGTTACTTCTCTTCAAACTCAACTTCAAACAAGTCTTGACAAACTAGACAAACGGCTTGCCAACGACCTACGCACACTCCGTCATGAAATAGCCACAATTCGACAAAGCTTGGTTCAAGAAGGTTCACAAGCAAATACGTCCACACCAGCTACTGACGATGTTTCTGAACAACCCACACATCAACCCTTCACCTTCACGACTTCTGATGATGCTCGAGCTGCACTAATACCATCTGCTCCGAACACAATTATTGTTCCACCAATCTCGTCTTTTCCAACATTCTCTGGTAAACCAACTGATCGACCACGACAGTTTTTATTACGTGTGGGAAAATATACTCGAACTGTCAACAAATGGTCAACTACTACTCTACTTAAAGGTATTTCACAATTCCTAAAAGATTCTGCATTAGAATGGTATTGTCAACTACACGTTACGAACACTTTACCTACAGATTGGGAACAATTTGTGACTCGCTTCCTTGCTCAATTTCACTCACCTATTCGAATCGCTCAACAAGAACATGAATGGGATGAATGTAAACAAACTGAAAATGAAACCATCAATGAATTTGTCGTTCGATTACGGTCCATTTGGTTCGAACAAAAACCGGACGAGATAAAATCTGATTTTATCAAACATTTATTTTGCAAAATGCGACCAGATATGTTAACACTCATGAATGCTACTCGATCAGCCTCATTAGATTTCATGCGTTATAGCGTTTTCCGGGAAATTCATTTTTGACCCACTAAACAATCAAGATGTCACTCACATAGGGTATTATATTCGTCATGCAGAATTTCCCAATTTCCAAGGTGGGGAAATTGAGGTGGGCCTTCTATTATGGATGTCCGTAATGGCCGTAATGGCCGTAATGGAGAATTTCCCAATTTCCAAGGTTGGGAAATTGAGATGGACCTTCTATTATGGACATGCGATGGTAATGTCCAGTTTCCAGGAAATTGAAATAAAATACTTATAAAATGAATTTCCAGGAAACTCAAATGAATTTCCTACAATATAAATATACATTGTATACTTTTGTATCTGGGTTTGGGTTGGGTTGGGTAGGNTGGTTTTTGCATGTTTTGTCCAAAAACCCGATTTTTCAGAAAAGGCGAGTTTTTCAAGGATTTTGCGATTTCTGACTACAAATTAGCTTCTTGAACGAATAAAAAGCAGTCCATCGTGATCAGCAGCTCATGCTCTATCTAACCATGTGGAAAAAAAGTCAAAATAAATTTCACTTGATTTTTGCATTGCTTGCACCTTAGTTAAATCTCAGAACTGAATAATCGCTTGTCTTAATAACATACGCGACATCATTGAACAGATATGTCTTTATCCTTATCAGTATTTACAAAAAACTAATCCCCAGCTCAAAGACTTGATCCCAACTTGTTGAAAGTTTTCTTGAAGCAATATTATTGGAAACAACAACGCAGAGAAGGATTTGGAATTTTGATTTTACTAGGCAATTGAAGAACAGCATTGAAATGATCAAATGTTTATTAGGGATTTTCTATCAATCGTATCATATATTTACAGATGTTCTCGTCAATATTTTTCTCTTACCGGAATTTTGGTCGGTGGAACAATACTGTCAACGGTCGATTTCACGTTTCCTCTGAAAACGAACAAGACAAAAATCATTTACAAGTTGGTATGATTGATGCGTCATGATTCATTGTAAAGTAGCGTCAATGAACGAAAAGAAGCTTGAGAAAAGAATAAAATTAGGATTCATAATTTAGGAATAATGAACTTTTCGAAGTATACAGATTTTCGATAAATTTCATTTGTTTTCTTTGGTATTACTGATGAATATGTTTTTCAGAATCCTATTAAAAATACGCGTTGCCGATAGTCAGATTTATTCACCTATTAAATGGTTTACTGAAAGATGCCATATATAATCTTTTTAACAAATAGATCAACAAAGAATCTTGACCAACCGAATATTATACGTTCCTTGATTGTACGTATCTTTATGTTCTTCAATAATTGTCGTACTTATTCACTTTTTCTCACTGAACTTATATGGCTTCCAGTAATATTATTGCATTGTTCGGCAAAGGCGACTGAATAATGTCTCCATTATTGATATGGGTTTGTTCAACATCGGTGAAAAATCTCTTCTCTCCGTGCTGTTTATATTCTATTATAACAACAAATGTGCCAATGAACTCCTAGGCAAATATATGTAATGTCTCAATACTAGAAAGCATAACAGGATATCTCAAGTTTGCATAATTCACACCAAGCAATCGCCTTATTTGATTCCTCACATGCTATGCTACTCTAAATATAAACTATAAAATTAGAACGGCGGGACCCTATGACTAAAATCGAACAAGCACGCGTGCTAGTTGATATTTTGAAATCTGAATAATTATGAATTTATAAAATGCTGGTTGACACATACCTTACGTAACATTATCAATATTTTTAACAAAGATCAAAATCATTATATGCACATACTTGATGCCATCACGAAATACTTATCTATTATTTCCTAGCCTCCAGTTTCTATGAGCTAGCACATTCACCTGGTTATTTTTACTAAATAACTCATTAGTTACTAGTAACTCGATAACTAGAAGTTACGTAGCTACTAGTAACTTAGTAACTAAAAAGTTACTTTTTTGAAGTTACGTAACTCCGGAGTAAAGTAAATGTGCCACCCCTAGTGTTTACCGGGAAATTCGATATGTTCTCCGTACCAATTGATTTCCGGGAAATTGAATTTGTTGATTGGACAAACTGAACAGTCTGAGCAGCTATAGTTCTCATATAGGGCATAATAGGGCATATTGGGCCATAATGGGGCATAGTGGGACATAATGGGCATATTGGGCCATAATGGGGCATAATGGGACATAATGGGCATATTGGGCATAATAGGGCATATTGGGCCATAATGGGGCATAGTGGGACATAATGGGCATATTGGGCATAATAGGGCATAATGGGGTCGAATCGGCATAATAGGGGTATTATCCGCTAGGGTGGGTGGGTGTCAGTAGGGATCTCTCTCAGTGAGGGTGTGGGGTGGGTGTCGATGCCGTTGACGTCCATTATGCCCTGTTATGCCCTATTATGCCCTATTATGCCCGATTATGCCCTACTATGGAAAGTCCCTTATGAGTTTTGGGACCATTTCGGCTTTTGTGCACTTTCATATTGGGTATTATAGGCTTAAGTTAGAATTTCCTGGAAAACGCTATAACACATCAAATCGTTTGGAGATTCGTTAGACCCTAATTTAACTTCCAGCATCTCTCAGGATGTCATAGGATACTTCGGGATCCATTTCATTAAGAGTCGATTTTTCTACTAGATACGCGAATTAAGAGTATACTTATATAGAATAATCACAACACAAAAGTCAAAATACTATAATCAGGATAAATTCAACGATAAGTAAAGCACACTCGGATCCGATAGGATTCCGTATCTTTATTTCCTTCTAAATCTCTTTGTTTTTCGAAGAATTATTGTGACTACTGGTAACTTATTATAAGTTTTCTTAAACTCTACAGGGTGGTTCAAAACCTTTAGGCCCCCTGGTTCTACCTATAGATCAAATGATTTCATCAACAATTTTATACTAAATGGTAGCCCGTAAACTCCTACATCAACCTGTACTATGGAATCAGGTGTTGTCCATCACATAATCAAAAGAGCTTATACCATATATACCAGAGTGCCATATATCCTCTGATTTAGAATGTGTGCAAGAACCATCATTTCATTCACCTATTCGAATATATCATGAAGTTTCTGATTTATTGAGGATATAGACTACTTAGCAGTAAATTTTATAACTTTAGAAATTGGTGTGACATCCTTTGACAGCTGCGAGAGCGTCAAATCTTTTCCTCATGGAGCCCAGCAAATCAACAAAAAGATCCGTGTCGTTTTCTACGTCCTCAAGGACACCCTCAAGGTTCGTTTTGAGAGCGTCATAATTGTATCTCTCTTGACGATCTTCACTTGCCATCAGCTCTTCAACTCTATCTTTGATAATTGCACCGATGTTCTCTACAGGATTCATGTCAGGACTATTGCCAGGCCAAATCGAATTACCCCAGAAATTCACTCCTTCATCTTCCAGAAAATGTTGTGTTGCATTAGCTTTCATACAGAGTGCCTTATCGGGAAGAAATATGACTTCATCTGTATCAACAACATTGACTAGATTATGCAGAAATGGAATCACATGTTTCTCCAGAATAATGTCACGAAAATAGGCGCCATTCCACGATTGACCATCCCCTTTCAGAACCCAAAGAAGTTTCTTTGCAGTGAACATAACGAAAATTCCAATGCATTTTGCGTTCTGAACCATTTCACAGTACCTTTCGTCATCGGTGGTGTCTTCAACAGATTTTGCCCAAATTCTGTCATTTTGATGGTTTGGTTTTCTTATCACATAGATATAAAATTCGTCCGACGCCGCCATATGTAGGAAATCTTCCTCGGTCCAGCCAGTAACGAAATTTGCAAGCCATTCTCGATCCTCAACATGTGTGACTGTTTTCAGTGGCTTTAAAATAACATGGAATGGTTTTAATCCTTGTCGCTGGCGTTCACGACGAGCCGTAGAATAACTCACTTTCTGTCCTGTTTTCTCTAAAATTTCTCGTGCCACTTTTCGAGAGCCGCTGCTTCTAACACCACTTGCCGAAGCAACAATGTTTCTGCTTTCTTGCGAGAGTACCTGAGGCCGACCACCTCCAAATTGTGTATAGCATTCTTCGACTGTTTAGTTCCAAGTCCGTCGTACCCAGTCTTCACGACGATGAGGCTTTTCGAAAATCCATTCGCGATTGATAAATGTATCCCCTGTTCTTGCAATCATTTCATCGCGTGTCTCACGATATGTAATGCAACGAATTCAATCCAAAAATCGTTGTTCTTCTGTGTCAGAAAGAGTAGCCATTTTAATTTCTTCAATTTCGATATGAGGAACTTGTCGAAGTTCAGGTAATAATTAACTCAGTTCTTGAGGTAACGAAAACAGTTATCCTCACGAACAAAGAAACGTTTAGAACAAGAAGGAAATGAAAACATTGAAAAAGTGTCCTGATTATTCTTTTTCTTTTTCTTCATTCCTACCTTATCTGTACGTGCACATATGCATGTATCGTCCCTGTATCTTTTCCTTCATTGCTAAGCATGAGTATATGGCTGCACTCGTTGATGCAGTTGTTTACGGGCTATGATTTGGTATAAAATTGTTGATGAAACCATTTGATCTACAGGTAGAACTAGGGGGCGTAAAGGTTTTGAACCACCCTGTAGTTCTTTTTTCTTCTATTGGATGCGAATTGGATCTTGGTCCAGGATTGATAAAATTTAGGATCAAATCCGAAAATTCTTCTACCCGACGGGCTCCAGAACTGATACATGTTTCTCTATAGAACTAATACATGTGAAAAAAAGATTATACAGTATCTTAACACTGCTGATGAATTTAAAACTCGACAAACGTTTTATGAGCCAAAGTCATATTAATTGTCAATATTTTACATTAGTTTATATGAAATCCTTCTCTTAATAAGCTCATACAGCTAGAATTTCATATCTAGTTTATTTATATTGAAAAATGTGCTAATGTTAATGATTTGCTTGAACAAATGTTCTCAATAAGGCCAAAAGATCTTTCGTATTTCGAAACGTAATAACAACTTTTTCCACGGTAATATTTGTTTCTGCACTATCACTACAACAATTTGTTTTTTTTATTTGATCACCAGTAAATGTTAATCTCATAACACCACATTCAGCATATCTTGTTGAATGAATTACAACATTTTCTGTTTTATTTATTTTTAAACGTTCTTCTTCCATTTCAGTTTTCAAAAGAGATGTTAATATATTTTTTATAGCTGTTGTATTTATGTGTCCTTGTCTATATGAAGAACAAAATTGAACAATATCATCGACATATTTATTTAAATCTCCAGCGCCTGATATTGTTTTTTTGAAATTTCGACTATCAGTATCGAAATAATTTGTTAAGTTTAAACTTTTTAAATTCTCAATATGAGCACCAAGTGATCGAAGAAGAGTATATGCTTCTGAATCAGACAAGTGTTCATCAGCAACATCAACAGTATAATTATCATCAACTTTCAATACATAATTCAATACCAAAGATGCTAATGGCTTCACTAGAATTTGTATAACATATGGTAACATGTCAATAATTTCTAATGCATTTGCTTTTGTTTGAGCATTATGATCTGCGCTTGGTCTAGAATTAAATTGTAAACTTGCGGACATATTTGTCGATGATATGTATAGGTTGACGCTACGATTTGTAGTAGAGTGTTGCCGATGAAGATAATCTATAAAAAAATACAAGTTTATGTATTTAATTCGATTTTTTGAATGCAATATTTTCAGTTAGCAAAGTTTTGATCAAAACAAAATCTTTTCGCCAAATTTCATATGAAGAGCTTGTTTTAATATTATTTACGATTTTACAAGTCTAGAAACATCTCAAAATATACCGAATTTATTTAACACTCTACAAAATACTTTACTCTACTTAATTATATGCTCCCTACCTTATTGTGCTTGTATACACTATAGAAGACAACATATGATATCAAGTTTATATCTTCTCGTTTTCTTGGATTTATCCAACGAGTAACTGATACTGAAACGTAAATGGGGAATTAACCAGGACGAAAGCGATCAAAATATTTAACTAAGAACGAGAAGAACATGAATCATAGTTACTTGATAATCATCTCCCGAGCAAACAAAGCTTATTTATGTTGGTTTTTCATCGTAAAAACGCGTTAAAATATGAGTTTCAACGCTAGAATAAAATGGTCCTATTTTAGGAACGAATATTTCTTCTAATATTAGTGCATTGAGAATTGATTATTCTCTTAAAAATCTAGACGTTCTTTTGACGCGTATTTGCAAATAAAAATATGCGCTTTTAACAACTTATTTCCCTAATAATGATAGTTCAACTGAATGATCATGGAAAAAATTAACAAACTAGAGAAGTTGGTATTGAACTATTGATTCTCATAACTATACCAGAACTTATCATTGATCTCATAAAGGGTGGGCCAGAAGTCCTGACTCGATTTATATAATGAATTTCTTTACATTAAAATCATATGATGTGTTATAGCGTTTACCGGGAAATTCGATTTGTTCTCCGTACTAACTGATTTCCGGGAAATTGAATTTGTTGATCGGACAAACTGAGCAGTCTGAGCAGCTATAGCTCTCATATAGGGCATAATAGGCCATAATGGGGCATAATGGGGCATAATAGGGGTATTATCCGCTAGGGTGGGGTGGGTGTCAGTAGGGATCTCTCTAAGTGAGGGTGTGGGGTGGTTGTCGACTCCGTTGACGTCCATTATGCCCATTATGCCCATTATACCCTATTATGGAAAGTCCCTTATGAGCTTTGGGACCATTTCGGCTTTTGTGCACTTTCATATTGGGTATTATAGGCTTAAGTTAGAATTTCCCAATTTCCCGGAAAACGCTATAACACATCAAATCGTTGTGAATTATATGATCCATCAGCTAACAAATGGATGGCTATTGATAACATGACAGAAGAACGTTCTTCTCATACCACAACACTACTGAACTCAGGAAAAGTTCTTGCAACTGCTGGCTACGGCTATACAGGTTTTCTTGATAGTTCGGAAATCTTTGATCCATCAACACGCCAATGGACTCCTGCAGGAAAACTCTCATCTCCACGCTCGTCTCATACGGCAACCATGCTCCAATCGGGCAAAGTTCTCATCACTGGTGGAGAAAGACAAGGCAGTTAAATGAATATTTCAAATAATCCATAGACATTTATTTTAATATTTGAATAATAAAATAATCAAACAGACCATCTTGAGGATAAATTGTAGGCTAAGAGTANGGAAAAGTTCTTGCAACTGCTGGCTACGGCTATACAGGTTTTCTCGATAGTTCGGAAATCTTTGATCCATCAACACGCCAATGGACTCCTGCGGGAAAACTTTCATCCCCCCGCTCGTCTCATACGGCAACCATGCTCCAATCGGGCAAAGTTCTCATCACTGGCGGAGAAAGACAAGGCGGTTAAATGACTATCTCAAATAATCCATAGACATTTATTTTAATATTTGAATAATAAAATAATAAAACAGACCATCTTGAGGATAAATTGTAGGCTAACACTATATTTGTTGCTTATTTACTCGTTATACACTTGTACATCAATATATATGCATCGTTTTTTTGTCAGATGTTAATATTATGTCATCAATGTCTCGGTTGGCTTCGAAAATTATCCTTTTCTAAGTTCTTGTAATAATACTGACTTTCTATAAAAGCTTGATGAGGTATTATCTTTCTCATAAGAAAATCCTACGTTAGACTAGAATAAAATCGGGGTGTGTATTTATCATGTGTTTTCTATATTTTTCTGATTCTAACTTTGTGTTCAAACTCGATGTTTATAATTAACAAAAAGATCTTGTGTAGATACACCTTATCGATATCAATTCACTTCTTTTGAGACACCTATCAACTACAAAGCAAAGCTAGCTGTAAATTATTCGAAACATCTAAAACGATGAATGATCGGCAATCAGTATTTTTCTCCTTAGTTCACCAGTTGCATTCCTATTCAACAATCGCGGATGATAACACTCACTTTCGTTTTAGTTTTGCCATTCAGAGAGATAAGTGTGCCGGCAATGACAGCTCAAGGAAGACTTACAGTGCAACTAGAGACAGAAATAAACACCAAGGTGAGCATCCTGAATGGATATGGAAAAGAAAAGTTAAAGATTCTCTCGCAAAAGTTGATTTAGATAAGCTTTAAATAACAAATTCATTTGAAATTCCTATACCGTATATCATCTAATAGGAAGATGCGTTTGCTGATAAAGATTTTGTCAAACCAGATTTGAAATATTAGTCTTGATCTTTTGATATGCATGCTTGGTTTGGACTCCACCTTTCAGAATACCTTCTGATTGGATATTCTGCATAGAGTAATTGAGGTTTCAATTCACTATGGCACGTATTACGAGTAAATAGTTTTTCGAGAGAAAGAAGATGAGATACGTGAAAACACTCGTTATTTCATGCACAAACATCTATCACCGTATACACTACTTGTTACCAAAAATGAGAGCTTTTTAAGTTCAATCGATCTGTTGTCTGCTGATGGTCGTATGGATAGTACGAGGGTTTTTTTTCTTTTTCCCGTGAGTGACGATACTTTATCCGATGTATAACAATTTTTCAGAGTTTTCCCATGCTTTTCAAGAAAAATGCGTTTAATAGTTGATCGTGTTCACATGCCGGTGTTGCAATGCATTCTTCACCGACTTCGTCGGCGTTCTCAGGTTTTTTTAAAAATCATTTTTAATTTAATCAACAGTGGAATAGATTGTTTTCACATAATAAAAAAGACGAGCTTTAAACAAATGAAACTTTTTGGAGAAATGGTGAGGAAACAAAACGGAATCCTTCTTCTGTCTGTCGCCATCGATCGGTTTTGCCGAGAAACAACTAAAGCTTCTCTTTTGCTGGTAAAAAGCAATAAGATGTCATCGTTAGTTTCCACATTAGTGTCGTCGTTTCTTCAGCTTTTTCTTTTTCCAGTTTTAACAAACAGAATACGTTGCCAATTACAAGAACGTGTGTCAGTCAATCGATCGTAAGTTTGATGAAAAGTTTTATAAACTCGTTCAAAAACAAAATTGGATATAAACAAACATCAGATGTTGAAAAGAAGATAGATACGTATATTGACAAATTCGAAAAGATGTTTAATGACATTTTGACTACAGTAGAAATGAAATTACTGGAGGAAACTGATTGCACTAATAAAGTGAAAGAAATACTTCAAGTTTCATTTGAAATTCTCGCTGAAAATATGGTAGAAAATTATCGTCAACAAACGAAACAATACTTTATGAGTGATTTGTATTCAATCCTCCTTGATATATGCTACTTGAACGTATTGAAGCATTACATTCCACGCGCGTATCGACTTTACGACACTTATGTGAACCATCGGATAACACGAAGGCTTTCACAAAAACGCAAATCAAACGAAAAATATCTCGAAAACGATTAAAATTTTTGAAAAAGCTGCTGAGGAATTTGAAATACCATTACCTGATCTTGGTCAGTATTTAACAAATAAACACCAGAGAAATGATGAAGTACATAAAGTTGCAATTTTCGTCAAAACTATTCACAGTTTTGTTCATCAAATGCAGAAGAAAGGAACAAGAGAGTACTGGCCGTATTTTCGAGGAATCATCCACAAACATCGCACTTGCCACAATTCAATACCAAAGAAATTCAAAATACACACCGAGTGTTCTTCAAATATAGTCAGTATGCAGATTTAAAATGAGAGAAAAAGTAAACTAGGCATGATGCAATTCAAAAATTCAGTTAAATTATATACTTATATCGATAGAAATATTCAAACAATTGATTGTCAACTTACTGTTGTATTATCCATACTGAATTCATCGAAACTTCAATATTTTCTATTGTGAATTTCAATTATTCAGTCGGATAACATATGTCTTATTGTCTTACGATTGTTGGATTTCTTGTAAAGAATTGAAAAGAGAAACGGGAACGTATTATCAATATTTCCTTCAATCACCAGCAATACATAGATAAATCATTAGGGATTGAAAATTGTTTATTCCTTTTTCTCTCTCTTGTCTAGTATTTCTAGACTAATAAACAAGTTTTTCAAATAACATTGGTAATTCATAATGATGGCGAAATGGACTGATGAATCAAATGTTAGCGTTTCAAGAGGAATTTGCGTTCTGTAATCATTTACAAATTCATCATTTCTTTCTCGGCAATTTTATTTGTTGATAGGTAAACGAACATAGATCCCTCAATACACGTATTCTTTCTTTGATTATTGTGTTGAATGACAACTTGATCATTTGAACTTAAGCAAGTGTATTTGCAGCATCTTCCTAAGTCTTCGTTCATTTTCTGCACAAGCAATTGTTGTATGAATCATTTCATTTTTATCTTCAGATATGATTGAAACGAATAAGGATGCATCTTGGTGTAATAATACCATGGTAAGTGTTCATGAGGAACTCCAATTATAAATACGGCTTCTACGAGAAAGAGTGGGGTGAATGTTCCGACTAGACTTTCTTTTTTTTGTAATGAAAATTAATTTTAATGGAAGTTCTTGCTCTGATGTTTGAGGTTCAAATGGTTTTTGACTTGAAATGATTATTACTTAAGGATTTACTTGTATATACTTTTTGATCGTGATAATCTTTCGATACATTACAAAACTGTTTAACATATGAAAATATTTGAGTAGATCAATCATTATTCAAGTTACTTTGGATAAAAATAATTGCATTGTTTTATGTTCGTTTTCTCAATTGACTTATCCCTCAAACAGAAGTCTGTGGCTTTGATGAACATTCGTTTAAGTTGATTTAGTAGTGAAATAAACGTTTTTTTGTTTATTTATCATTGATTGAAAAAATAATATGATGAAAGGTTAAATCCTTTGACAAATAGCTTTTACTTGTTCTCCAAATCATGAAGAAAAACATGAAACATATACTCTAATTTAATCGTATCTTTCTCTATTGTTAAATTTATATGTGCAGTGGGCATCGATATATTTCGAAAAAGAACTTTCCATCAATTTTTCATTTAATACTTATTCAATTTGTCGTTCTATGCAATCGTAATCGATTTGTCACAAAACCTTTTGTGAATTATTGATAATGCTTTCATATAGGAGCAACATCAACCATAGATGATGAACATGATATTCTCGATTTTCTAAAACATTCCGTACCTATATGAACTGAAAATTCCGTGTAGTGTCTATACCTTACAACTAAACGTTTGTTTTATGCACCAAGTAAATGAAATTGAATGTGTAGATATTTTGTCATTCAACTGAGTTCCAATTCTCAAAAATTAGTTAGCTGTAAGAGACGTTGAAAAATTAATGATATTTTGTATAACTCTTTTCCACGTATTCATTAAGATTATATTCATTCAAACGCACGCCAACTGCTCATCAACTGATATTCAAGTCTACTTCTCGACTGCCTATGACATATGACAAACGTCACATGTACTTTTCTGCAGTGATTCAACCAACTGTGACAACACGCTACTATATGTGTTTGCATTTTTATTTTGACGATACTGATTTTTCCTCTTCTCACGTGTGTCTTTACCTTAATACAGTAATTAACTATAGAGGAAAGATACGATCGAAGTTGGAAAAAGCCAACAAAAGAAGTATCTACTATATAAATCAAATCAATCTGCTTGTTTTTATCAACGCAGCTTTCAAACAATCTCATATACTTATATTTACACATTAATTCATGGAAAAATTGGGATTGATAGAGGCCGAGTCTTACAAGCAAACAGAAAAAGTCAAAGAACTGCAGCATATCAATTATGACGATGACATTATACGGCGACGTATCAATCTTCAAAAGGCACAACACATTATCTTCATTTGGTTGAAATCTAATGATACAAATTGTCAAGATACATCTACACAACTTCAAGACATTGTTAGTACTGCCTATACTTTTGAAGATAGTGATGAATGTGTCGATTTTATTACCACCGTTACAGATAATAAAGTTTGTCTAATCCTCGCAGCTTCTCTTGAACAACATACAATACCTTGTATACACGAAATTTCTCAACTGCATTCTATATTCATTTTTGGTAACTCTATCACATGTGACGACGAATGGAAGAAAGCATGGTCAAAAGTAAGAGGTATTTTCACAGAAGTCCCAGTTCTCTGCCAAGAACTCAAACAACTGACTCGGCAACATGACCAGAACGATATACCAATCAGTTTCGTGACACCTGGTGAAAAATCGAATAAACTGGACCCGACTTTCATGTATACACAAATTATGAAGGACATTATGTTGACTATAGAATATAACGAAGAACATCTCGGTGAATATTGCAACTACTGTTGCGATACAGTTGCCGACAATCTACAAACTGTCAACAGTATCCGACAATTCGAGCGTGAATATAATGAAAAATCCCCAATATGGTGCTACAGTTACTATAGTTTTCTCTACTTGATGCTCAATCGTTCTTTGCGGATACTGGATGGAGATATTATTCGGCGAATGGGATTCTTTATTACTGCTCTTCATCGCAATATTGAACAACTACACAAACAACAATATGTCGAAAACTCGTGTCAGCAGTCGTTTACAGTATATCGAGGACAAGCGTTATCCAAAACAAAGTTTGATCAGCTTAAAAAAGCCAAGCATGGATTGATATCATTCAACAGTTTTCTATCTACCTCTACTGACTATAATGTTGCGTCTCTATTTGGTGCAAGCAATGCGATAAATCCCGACGACGTAGGAATTATTTATGTTATGAAGATAGATCCCACCCACACAACAACACCATTCGCTTCGATAAGCGAAATCAGTCATTTTTGCCAAGAAAACGAAACACTCTTTTCGATGCATTCCATATTTCGCATACATGAAATCGAACCAATTGATGACATTGATAAAATATATAAGGTTCATTTATCCCTTACCAGTGACAATGATCAAGATTTACATAACTTAACTGAATACATTAAGCACGAAAGTTACACTGATCTGCAGAGCTGCTATGCACTACCTCAACTGCTAATCAACATTGGACAGCAAAATGCAGCAGAATCTCTTTGTCAATCTTTACTAACAAATACAGATGGCAAAGATGACAGTCTGTTGTCACCATACCTGATTTCATACCTACTCGGAAGAACAAAACAAGCACAAGGGAATTACAATCAAGCTCTTGCACTTTATCACCACTCAATTACAAATGTAGCACAACTTCTTCCACCAACTCATCCAAATTTGGCTGCATCCTATACTAATATTGGTCTGGTGCATAGTGACATGGGCAATTACACTCAGGCGCTTGAGTACCTTCAGAAAGCGCTTTCCACTCAAACAGAGTCTCTTCCACCAAATCGTCCTAATTTGGCTGGATCCTATACTAACATTGGTCTGGTGCATCGTGAGATGGGCAATTACTCTCAGGCGCTTGAGTATCATGAGAAAGCGCTTTCGATTCGAACAAAATCACTTCCACCAAATCATCCAGATTTGGCTGGATCCTATACTAACATTGGTCTGGTGCATCGTGAGATGGGCAATTACTCTCAGGCGCTTGAG